ACATATCATATATATATGTGTGTGTATATATATAAGTATACACACACATATACATATATGCATATATATATAGTTTCTTTTTAAAAAAAAAAAAATCCTTCCATCCATCCGAGCAACTCTTGAGCCTGCTTGCATTCAAGTGTGTTTTCCACGCACCTAGAAAAAAGGCATTTCCTCTTCGAGAACAATTAGTGGTTAGAAGCTCTGTACCTTTTCGCTTTCATCCTCAACTGCCTAACTCCCCTTTAATGCTAGCTGGTTCCTTTCTGAGTCTTGATTCCGGCCCTTGGGAAGTTCCCATTGCTCGCGTTCCCAGCCGCCCCCGCCCTGGGCTGCAGCTTCCTCTCTGCTCCGTGTGTTGCAGACGGCTCTACCTGCACCATGTCGGAGTGGATCACCTGGTCGCCCTGCAGCATCTCCTGCGGCACGGGCATGCGGTCCCGGGAGAGGTACGTGAAGCAGTTCCCGGAGGACGGCTCCGTGTGCACGCTGCCCACTGAAGAGACAGAGAAGTGCACGGTCAACGAGGAGTGCTGTGAGTGGCGGGGACGCGGCGGGTGGAGCGGGTGCGCGGGTCTCCAGAAGCTGGTGGACGCCACTCCAATTCCGCTGGACCCACAGCTCCCAGCAGCTGCCTGATGACTGAGTGGGGCGAGTGGGACGAGTGCAGCGCCACCTGCGGGATGGGCGTGAAGAAGCGGCACCGCATGGTCAAGATGAGCCCCGCAGACGGCTCCATGTGCAAGGCCGAGACATCACAAGCAGAGAAGTGCATGATGCCCGAGTGCCGTGAGTGGGCTTGGGGATGGGTGTGGGGAGGGTACCAGCTCCGGGGTGGCGGATGGGAACGGGTGTGGAAGACCACAGCACCCCATCACCACCTTCAAGGTGGGTAGGTGCAGCATCTGGCGGGCATCTGGACAGGTGCAGGAGGAAAACATTGTCCACCGTCCTTGCAGGGCACTGCTAGGAGCAAGATGAGGGCCATAGGTGCGTGGACATGAACCAGACCCACAGAGAGTGGCCTCCTTTGGGGGATAATCTGAGCCATGTGGTGTGGCAACTGGTGGCCTTTGAGTAGAATTAACCTGCAGGTGTATTTTATAGAACCCTGACTATATGGGGGAGCACATGAACACATATAGGCAGGACGTGCACTCCCCAGGTCATCGTAGGCCCCCACTCTTGTTCTGCATTGGACTTGCCTGGCCCCATCAAGCCTTATGACCCCTGCGTTATGCCAAATGCACATAGACCCACACATCAGTACACAAACGTACACATGCACACGAGTACATACAGATGCTGGGAATTTCGGTAGCAAAATGTCCAAAAAGAGCATTGAGCCTATCTCTGAGCACGTGATTCTCGGGGAGAGTGGGATGTTTCTGTCTCTGGCAAGATCCTACTTAGACCCTCAGTGGTGTTGCGAGTGGGAACTTGTGTACACATATTTCTGAGCCACAAGTGATGTCAGCATCACCACCTGGGCCAGGGACGATGCAGGATAGTGACAGGAAGTGCAGTAGACAGTTGAGCCGCTTCTTGCTCCTTAGTGCTCACCTTATCTGAACCCATGGGCCAATTCCACTTTACTCCATGGGCCATAGCTAGGGAAAGGTGGTGGAGGGCACTTTAGAGCCAAGGAGATCAAAGAAAGCATAGGGAGCCTGTTCTCAGTGGCAAACCTGGCTCTTGGCCTAGACACCATCCCATGCTTGCTGTCCCCATGGTCCGAGTGGAGTGACTGCAGCGTGACCTGTGGGAAGGGCATGCGGACCCGCCAGCGGATGCTCAAGTCTCTGGCTGAACTCGGAGACTGTAATGAGGAGCTGGAGCAGGTGGAGAAGTGCATGCTGCCCGAATGCCGTAAGTCCCCGTGCTCTGAACGCCCACCATCTCTCCTCTCCCACCTTTCCTGAGCCCAGGGAGCCTGATGGGTGTTGCGGGTCCCCGAACCAGCCCTGAACTATGATCAGACTGCTAGATTGTACAGTTCAACTGTTTGCTGGGGAGAAAGAGCATGGGGTTTGTGTCTCTGTTAGCAAGTTACTGAAACTCTTTAATTTCCTCATTCATAAAGTTGGGGTCCCACTGTCTACAAGATACACAAACTGCAAGTTGCTATGAAATTTAAATGGGAGACTACATGAAAAATACTTAGCACAAGGCTCCATAAACCATAGTTCTTTCCCTCCCCCCAATTAGGAGCTTGTCTGATGCATGGGTTTTCTAAGCTGCTTAGTTCTATTTCTCTTCCCTGTGTCCATCTTATTTACCCATGACCAGAGGCTGGACACATTGAATCAGTGACTCCCGCACTCATGCAGCCCTAGTAAGAAGACCAGCAGGAAAACAAGCCAAGCTCTCAAAAGCTCCCTGTCCACCCTTACCTCCCCCAAATCTTCTGACTGTGGTCAGCTGTTTTTATTACATAGGGACTGATTTCCAAGGAAAGAGCCAGTTTTCCTGGCTAGTCTTTCAAGAGAGCTTCTCTTTTAGGTGGTAGAAGATCAAGCAGACTTGCTCTGACTTTTTTTCTGGCTTCCTCTGAAATACCCTAGAAATCTTTCATGCTCCCTCTCTTGTTAGTGCTCAGGCTGCCTGCCCAGGTTCAGATCCCAGCTCTGTCTTTTACTGGATGTATAACTGTTGGCAGATTACTTATCAATGCTTGATCCTCAATTTCCTCGTCGGTATAACAGCCAGAAACACTTCCTAGGTTGTTCTGAGGATTGAACCAAATAATAGGTACAAAGTGCCAAGCGCTGGACCTGGCCAATACAGGTCTCAATCAATGTTACATATTATTGTGCCTGAGCTGTTTTTATCTAGACTCAGTCATGGGTGGAGATGACCAGGGCCAACAACACAATAAAGCCTGGGGCTTTTAATAACTAAGATTGGCCCACAGTTCAACCTAGCTCACCAGCGTCAGGGCCCCAGAGGCTTCTGATTGAAATATTCTTCCCAACTTCAACACCACTCTTTAAATCCACAGAGTCCACTGAAGGAAGGAAGAAAAAGAACACTTACGGAGCACTTACTGTGGGCCAGGAACTGGGCTGGGATCATTATCTCATTTAGTCCTCACAACCTAAGGAGAAAGATACCATTATCCCCATTTCGCAGATAAGAAAGCACCTGAGCTCCCACAGGGAGACAGGGCCTGAAACTATTGAATAAAACAAGGACTTCCTCTGTCCCGCCTTGCCCTCACTTTGCAAGGCCAATGGGGAGTTTGGCATCATTTGCTTCCCTAGGACACATCTGAGAATCAGACCGGTGTGTTATTTCCCCTTCACATTTGTGATGCTGGCTTAGTAAAGGGGATTTGCTGGATCTCATGCCACGATAACCATAAAACACCACTTGCTCCTGCCCCTCTTCTGTATTGAGTTTCCCCTTTCTGGCCCCTGTGCTTTGCAGAGTGTTATGTATATAGGACACAGAATAATCTTGAGAACAAGAGGGAAAAAAAAGCTGCCTCGTTCTTACTGTGAAAGCCACAAAGTCCTTGGTTTGTCTCCGGGGGTCAGCCATCTGTCAGCTTGACTTATTCTCCCCAAAGCAGTCTGGCAGCAGAGAGTTTGTGGGCATTGCTCTGAAAATGTACCAGTGAGCTGTGCTTTCCCTGAGAAAATCCAGGTCCTTGGGACTGAGGGAGGCTGGTCTGTGTCACTTGAGGCTGATATGACAATATTCTAGCTCATAGAGCAGGGCAAGAGGCACTGAACATGTCTTCAAGGTCCCCCAGAGCTTCTTAAGTCATAGAGGGAGCATAGAATGTGGGTAATGACCTGGGAACCAGTCCTACGTCTACTGCTTACCAACCATGTGGGCTGGATGAAGTCAGTCTGCCTCTTGGAGCCTTGGTTTCTCCTTCTGTAAAATGGGATAACAGCACGTTACATTCCTCATAGGCTTGTTGAGATGTTCAAAGGAGAGTCTACTTAACCGTGTCTTGTGTCAGACATGAGATACATTCATGCCCATCCGTGTCTTGCCAGCCATTGACTGTGAGCTCACCGAGTGGTCTCAGTGGTCAGAATGTAACAAATCATGCGGGAAAGGCCACGTGATTCGAACCCGGATGATCCAGATGGAGCCTCAGTTTGGAGGCGCTCCCTGCCCAGAGACTGTGCAGCGCAAGAAGTGCCGCATCCGGAAATGCCTTCGAAATCCATCCCTCCAGAAGCTGCGCTGGAGGGAGGCAAGAGAGAACCGGAGGAATGAACAGCTGAGGGAAGAGTCTGATGGGGAGCAGTTTCCAGGTACCACTCCCCATGTGGGGCTGGGTGGTCTCCAAGACAGGCTGGTCTCTGCGCTGGGTCAGGTCTTGGGTCTGTCAAAAACTAGGGGGGCAAGGGGGGAGCTGCGTTTTCTAGAGTCTTCAGACTACATTTTCTTTTTTTATTGTGCTTTAGGTGAAAGTTTACAGCTCAAGTTAATTTCTCATACAAAAATTTATACACACATTGTTATGTGACCCTAGTTGCAATCCCTACAATGTGACAGCATACTCTTGCTTTCCACCTTGGGAAAACCCATATCCATTCAACCAGCTCCTGTCCCTTTCTGCCCTCCCATCCTGCCTTCGGACAGGAGCCGCCCATTTAGCCTCCTGTATCTACTGGAACAAAGAAGCACACTCCTCACGAGTATTATTTTGTGTTTTATAGTCCGGTCTAATCTTCGTCTGAAGAGTTGGCTTCGGGAATGGTCTCAGTTCTGGGTTAACAGAGTCCAGAGGCTATGTCTTCTGGGGTTTCTTTAGCCTCAGTCAGACCATTAAGTCTGGTCTTTTTATGTGAATTTGAGTTCTGCACCACACTTTTCTCCAGTTCCCTCAGCAACTCCCGGTTGCGTTCCCTGTCAGAGCATTCAGACTACATTTTGATTCTTCAGATGCAATGAAATTACAAGATACCCCAAAACTACTGAAGGGTTTGGAGTCCCTGGGGGTATGAACTGTTAATGCTAACCAAAATTTGGAAGTTCGGATCCAGCCAGAGGTGCCTGATGATCTGTTTCTGCAAAATCAGCCATTGAAACCCCTTTGACGCACAGTTCTACTCTAACACACATGGGGTCGCCATGAATCAGAATCAACTTGATAACAACTGGTTTGGGTGTTTTGGTTTAGCACATCACAATGTTGTCTGTTGCACTAGTCAACAAACATTAAGGCCAGCTATGTGCCAGGCCCTATGCCATGGTCCTTTCTTCTATGGAGCCTACAGTGTGGTGTGTTGAACAGAGTGAATGGATAATCATAGGTGTGGTTAGTTCTGTGAGGGAGGAGTATATAGTGCTATAGAAGCATTTAAACAAAAGATCTCACCTAATTTCTGGGAGTCAGAGAACTTTTCTTTTAGAAAGGCATTTTTAAGCTGCACAGGAAAAATAAGAAATTGTACTTAAATTTACTTAGCTTTGGGATGCTAAGTACTTGGGGAGCAAGAGAAAGTAGTAGTTAAATGCTGCTTAAGTGGTTGCTGCATAACAAGCCACCCCAAAAGAGTGGCTTTTTAAAACTATCATTAGCTTATGATCCTGTGGGTCAGTGATAATGGACTGGCTCAGCTGGACAATTCTTCTGTGGTCCAGATTAGGCTACTCTCAGCTGGTGACTCAGCAGGTGCTAGAAGGCCTACACTGGCCTCACTTACATTTTGGGGACCTCAGGCTGGGATGGCTGGGGCCTCTTTCCACTCTCTGTAGCAGGCTAACCCAGGGTTGCTTACACAATGGTGAAAGGGTTCCCAGCAGCAAAAGAGGGCAAGCCCCAATGTGCAAATATTTTTCAAGCCATGTTTGCTAATGTCCCATTAGTCAAAGCAGGTCATAGAAATAGACTCTGCCTCTTGATGGGAGGAGATACAAAGAATATATGGCCATTTTTGGCAGTCTATCACAATCTATAACAGTCCCTAATAAGGACTCTAGTCATCAGTGCAGTCAACAAATCATTACACACAGGAGCAGAGAAGACCAGACAACTAAATTTGACAGTTGTCAAAAATCCTAACCAGCTGTCAACTAGAGTTTCAGCATTACTGTCCTGTCCCCAATTTCTGCTGGTCTAACCAGGCCTTCTCATGCTTTCAGGCTGTAGGATGCGCCCATGGACAGCCTGGTCAGAATGCACCAAACTGTGCGGAGGTGGGATTCAAGAACGCTACATGACTGTAAAGAAGAGGTTCAAAAGCTCCCAGTTTACCAGCTGCAAAGACAAGAAGGAGATCAGAGCATGCAATGTTCACCCTTGTTAGCAAGGGTACAAGCTCTCCAGGGCTACACTCTAGATTCCAGAGTCACCAATGGCTGGATTGTGTTTGCTTGTTTGTTTAAGGCAAATTAAATTGTGTACACTAGTTTTCATTTCTGCAGTGTGGTTCGCCCAATAGTCTTCCGGATGCAAGGGGCATCTTTCTGAATACTTCTTGGTGGGTACAGGGTGAGTGGGGCTCCCTCACCCTCAGCTGGCCCTCTTCCTGCACAGAAGTGAGTAGTGTCAGCCACCTTGTACTAAACTGAAATGTCTCCTTCTGGAAAATCCACCTGGGCAGGCAGAAAGAGACCTTGGCCTCCTCCCATGGAGAGGTAGTTGTGTCTAGAAGTGAGTCTGTGCGTCAGTCCCAGGGTGCAGCAGGTAGGAAGCATTCCCCACCAGTCAATGAGCACAGATTTCCCTCATCTCACCTTTGGCCTGCCCACTCTTCCAGGAAACATTCGTTTACCCATCTCTTTTATTTTGATGAGACTTTAGGTCCCTTGTTAAATCGCCTCAGTCATCACTGGTTCTTGGGAAAAACAGAGCTGGTAGACTTGAAAAGGAGCACTGATGTTGGATGGCTTTTCTTCTTTCACTGAGAATTTCTAAATATATTTATCTCACCTCCTAATATTGGTACTTGATACCTCAAAGAGGGAAGGGAAGTGATAGCTGAATAATTTGAAATAACTGGTTCTTAATACCTGAGGTAAAATTTACCAAGTATAGAAAGTATTTTTCCCTTGCCTTTTTTTTTTTTTTTTTTTTTGGCTAATTTCTCCTAGGAAGCCAGCCTTTATGAACCTTTTGGTACTAAATCCTTACTGGAACCAGGGCCAAGGCACCAAAATTGGTCTTTCTAGCAGTATCAACCCTAGCAGTTTATAAAATCTGCCTACACATCAAGACTTTTAAGTTTTCAAACCAGTTTCTAACAAGGAAGCTTTTTTTTTCAGTTTATACAAACATTTTACTAAGTCTGCCCATACCCCTAAGCCTTTCCATCAACAAAAATACTATCTCTGTATTTTATTTTTCAGTCATAAAAATTTATGTATAAAGAAAAAAATGCTTCACAGCCAATGACAGAAAATCTAAGGAGAAAAGAAAATGAAGAAATCAAGCTAAATAAGGGGAGCCCGGGGGAAATCAGGAAACCCTGGTGGTATAGTGGTTAAGAGCTACAGCTGCTAACCAAAAGGTTGGTAGTTTGAATCCACCAGGCGCTCCTTGGAAACCCTGTATTCTAAGTTCTACTCTGTCCTGTAGGGTCACTATGAGTCGGAATTGACCGCAGCGGGTTTGGTTTTGTTTTTGGTGGGAAGTCAAGCCTGTCGTCCAGCTCTCCACGCCAAGGCTCTGGTCCTCAGACATATCTAGAGGGAAGGCCGTGGGTTTTCCATGCCCTCCCGAGCATTCATAAACACACCAATTCAGGGAGACTGACTACCAAGGATTAGGGTAAAAGGACATTTTACTGAGTTGAGTCCATCAGCAATCTTATTTGTTTGTTGTTAACACTGTTTTATTTTTTATGCAGGCCTTCTTTTTTACTGTGTATCCAAATATGTACTGTGGATGAGATGCATATGTGCTTTGAATACACTAAAGAATTTGTATCAAACACATCAATATATTTCCAAACATATAGCCCTGAATATGTATTATTCTAACACAAAAGACTGTTCAATAAAAAAATGTATTTTTCATGTTTTTAAGCTAATTAAGTGTTCAGAAGTTTCAGATTTTTTGCAGTGTTATCCATCTCAATCGTTTTCAGTAAAAGATAGGCTTTTGCTCGCTCATTCTCAAGGGGCATTTCCATATCTGTGAGGTTCCTGGAGAGTGGACTTGTTTCCAACATTACTTTGTAATTCTTAACTGCTTTTTCCTCCCCAAAGAACTGTAATATGAATAATGTTTGATTTTCTACTTGGACAAAAAAAAGTTCTGATATAGCCTCTGCCCAGTTTTGCAACATTACTCTCAGCTGTCTAGATACTCACTTATTCTTAACTCTTGAAAATCAAAGTTCCCTTAAGATAGTGATTTCTAAGTAACTTTAAGGACAAGCCACCCTAGTGTCTCATATTCCTATTTGGCCCCTGTTGGGTACATTTTGAATCTAATTTCGGAGACTTAAAACCATATAATGACAGAGCACGGATAACACTTATCAATACACAAATCTTATATCACATAAATGTTGTTTTTTGTTCGCAATAGGGAATTTTAAGTGTCAAATCTCTTTCTTACCAAAGTCTTCTGTTAGGTGATTTATAGTTTTTCTGGCTAACCATTTGTTTTGGAAATAAAGACTTTTTACTACGAAAATGGGCTTCCACTTGAGACAGCAAACAGGTCATAAGGCATTCAATAAAAATTGCCATGTAAAAAAGAGCTTATAATCATTGTAGATATTTTTATCAATGCCAAACCAGTTGTAATCCAATTCACATCTACATTTTAAGATAACAATAAGAAGTTCAGAGATATATGTCCCAACCAGACATTGGGTCACTTACCTGTCACCTTGCCAATGTATTATTTGAAGGAAATCTGTTGTAGCAAATGAAATAAAGCCTCGGCTTCTTTAGACCCAGAATTGAAAACGTTAAAAAGATTCTGTGCTGTTTTTAATTTGAACTTTGTGTATTAAACATGTTTTAGGCATACTCAGAGTCTGTGTACTTCTTCCAGGAAGTTAAGGGTACATGATACATTCTCACACATCTACAGTTCTCCAGAAACTTAGCCCAGGTCAAATCCTATGGCTAAAAATGTCAATACACAAAAACTCTCAACATCATATTATTTCTGTGCTGTAACAAAGAGCCCATGTTTCAGGTGAAAGAGAGGAGGGGGAAGAAAAAGGGAGGGAGAAAGAGGTAGGGAAAGAGGGAAGGAGAGAGAGGAGGGAGAAAGAAGGAGAGGGGGGAAGGAAGGACCTCTGGACTCAGAAAACTCACAGAATTGCAGAAAGGCTTTTCCAGATCATTTTTGTGATGAAGTCTGACCTGGAGTACAAGCGCCCAGCTTTGAAAGTTCAGCTTCATGGAGTTTTTTGTGGCAAAGAAGGTAGATATTAAAGCACACCAGGGTTATGCATTTTCTTTTTCTCTGAACTCTCTGAAGAGTTAAATCTTTATACCCTAAAAAATGTCTAAACATATTGTCTAAACAAGACTAAACACAAACATTTAATCCTTAACTACAACACAGAACCACGGAAGATACAGACATTCTATTTTATTTGATGGTATTAATTTTGATAATAAAAACGATTCATTTTGTTCCTCATATTGCCCTAAATAGGGAGAATGAATGAAAATAAATCCTTTCTGAAAGTGAGACGTGGTAATAAACTATAAATAGCAACTGAATACTAATTAGCATGAAGATAGTTCTTCAATTTAAACCCTTTGAAATCTGAGAGCAAAATATCTGTACTAAAATGTCAAATTTAAATAATTGCATCCATGATTTAAAAACATTGTCGATTCAAAGGCTTTATTCACTCTGTAAAAGTGGAAAGGCAGAAGCTGAGTAATGGTTACGCACAAGGAACCTGGGTTCAAATCAATGCTGCACCACCGAGTGGCCACTTATTTTACCTTTTCTGGCCTCAGACTTTGATGCAAGCTTTATAACACTAGAGGACTTCTCTACCCCTCCCCTCCACAATTTAGCCAATTCTCATCTCGAGAGCAAGTTCAGATGGTATCCTGATGCAGGCGTCATTCAAAGCCAGATATACCCCGCCCATCCCTCACTTCTTCATAAACCAGTAAATGCCTGCTTCGTGCCGATACTGATCTGAGTTGCATTTCTGTCACTTATAAATGAAAAAGCCCTGAAAATACACATGCACAATTTTTACACAGCCATAATAGGGTATAATGCAATTTCAGACAGTTTTCACTTATCATTCATAATATTCATAATGTCATAGCATAAGAGAGTAGTCATTAACATTTTCTTACATTGCTCTAAATTCTTCATAAAACTCAGGATATGTTCTTAACGACTTCCTGGCTTTACAATTGATTTATAATAGCTCTCATATTTTAAGCAATTATGTGTTTAAACAGTTTCCTTTACGTCAAATAATTTTAAGTATTAACAGAAGGGAAAAGGGCAAACATCTTAATCAAGACTACTGACTCACCACACTTAGAATTTGTAACAGTAGCATTCCCTTTCTTCCCCTAGTGTTGGAATGCACCTACTACTGGGTGATTCTAATTCGGAATTTACTAGCCTATCTGAGAACTCAGAAGGGCCACTTGTGAAAAATACCTGAGTTTCTTGCTCCTTTACACAAGTGCTACTCAAAGTGTGGGCAACAGACCAATGCCACCCATGAACTGTCTGTTAACACTTCCCACAAGATCGAGAAATTGAAAGCAAGTGTTTAGAAACTTTTTTAGTAATTTGATATTACCATGCTATATTCAAGAACGATTAATTTTTCTAGTAATTCACGTTTTATTACATTTAGCAAAAGTATCAGTCCACAACAGTTGGAGATTAATTTTTTTTTAAACTGGCTCTTCACCAGGTAATCTGAGAGGCACCACACTACACCATCCTCACTCACTTCAGTCAGAAGGGAGACCAGCCTACAAACCCTAGGCTTCTTAAATCTCTCAAATGCTAAAGTATCCACACGGTAGTATCTAGCTCTGGATTTGTATACCTACATGTCTATAATTAAGTACCTTGTATGGGCTCCTTTCCTTATTCTTTCTAACACCCTACCTTACAAAGCAAGGTACTGCCCCATTACCCCAGATTTTGCCAAGTAATTTCTAAAAATTAAAAATAAGTACTTCCTCTACTTTCTTACTCTCCAATCACATCTCAATCCACTATAATCTGGTTTCCATATCCACTGAAACAGATCTCTCAAAGTCATCAGCAACCTCTTAGCAATCATTTCTGCCTTAACCCTCCCCCCCACCCCCATCCTCCACACAGCATTCAGTGCTTTAGACCACTCCCTTGGCTTGACAACGCACTTTCCTGGTTCTCCTCCCCAGTTTTGGCTGCTGCCTTTGGCTATTAAAAAAAAAAAACCCGTTGCCCTGCAGTTGATTCTAACCCATAGCAACCTTATAGGACAGAGTAGAACTGCCCCATAGTTTCCAAGGAGCAGCTGGTGGATATGAACTGCCAACCTTTTAGTTAGCAGCTAAGCTATTAACCACTGGGCCACCAGGGTTCTGCCCTTGGCTGTTGGTGCCTCTTATTTTTCTATCACCTAAAAGTTTTTTTTTCCCCAAAGTTTTGCCCTTAGACTTTCTCTCAAACACACTTTCTAATAGATATTATCTGCTCTGGCCTCCATCATCAGCTCAAAATAGATAAATTCCAAATCTGCACTTCTTGCCCTAGCTTCTTTTGAGCTCCAATCCCCATTCTCAAATGCCTCCAGGTCTAACCCGGTATGTACTTGCCATGAACATGATGTATTTCTACCACTAGAGAGTTGCCTGTGCTAATTAACAGCACCACCACCTTCCTGGTCACCCAGACTTGATGCTTTGGAGACCCAAACATCTCTTGGATATACATCTAATCTTCAGTCTCCTTCCCCCCATACTACTGCCGTTCAGGCTTAATCATCTTTCTCTGAAATCATTCATCAAGTGGTTTTCCTGTACAAGCTACATGCCAGGCAATATGGGTAAACCAGTAAACATGGTAGAAATGATTCTGCCCTCACAGAGTTTGTGATGCTAAGGTGGGAGTCAGACAAGAGAAACAAAATAATCACAGGTGTCACAAAGTACATACATAGGGCAGTGTGATATGACAATGAGTGGTCAAAGAGGGCTCTCTGAGGAGGTGGCATTTAAGCAAACACCTAAAGAATGAAATGGCTAACTGGGTAGCTGAGTGAAGTAACTGATTTGGTTTTAATGTTGCCATCTTTTACATATTGACATTTCTATTTCACTATTTTCAGTGTTTTAGCTTGATTTATTTGTTAATATCTGGGTTAATATCTGGTTGCTTTGTCCTGTGTTTTAGTCTTGGGTTGTTATCTGATATTACTAATTTTCTAACCGGAGGACTCCCTTTAGTATTTCTTGTAACTTTGGCTTGGTTTTTACAAATTCC